CTCACTCACGTCTTCCTCCAGGCTGACAGCGCAGAGCGGCGGAGCAGGATCGATGATTAGTGTTGGCTGATCTCTTAGTCACAGTGGTCTCTACCTGTGGTGTTCAGCTGCACTCATAAATTGATAAATAATTCACTTCTTGCTCCCTCTATCAAACCAGTAGCATCTGATATTCAAGGCTGTGTTGAGCAATACTTGCACTACCACCTGTCTGACCTGCTTCATCTCTCTGCCACAAAGCAGCTCTGATTTGGGAGGATGCCCTGGGGGCTTTGCTGGGATGTCGCGGTTTTGAAACGGGAGCTCTGCGCTACCTGCAACTACCTGCAACTCGGCTGTCAAGCGGGAGCTGTGGGGAAACACGCCTTGGAGTGCTTGTCCTCCTAACGCTGGCTCAGGGCAGGGTAACCTCTGAGCTTGGACCCCAGGAAAGGGGGGGTTACATCAGGCTGTGGCACCTCAGTGCAGCCGGAGCCCAGCCTGCCCTCGCTGCTTGTGGTGCCCATAACGGCGGCAGAAATCAGGGGAGTCTGAGTGCAGCTGGTGGTTCGGGAGCTGAATTCCTCTTTGCTCAGTAATTTCTCTGTCTGACCTTCTGCTCCTGTATAGTAAAGATTCCTATATTGGCACTTTAAGACTTTTTTCTCATCTTCACTGTGTTACCTCATTAGTTTCTGATATTAGCAGACTTGTAACAAGTTACGATCTTCGCACTAACAGCTCCCGCAATGAATCTTGGCATGTGTGTTCGTCGGCTTGCACCGCACCATCCGAGCGCCGCGCGCTGCCCTCCAGCCATCCTTCCACCGCAAGCAGGGCAGGTTCCTCGTGGCCGCAGTGCAATACTCGCCAGCCCTCCCGCACCGACCCTCCAGCTGCCAGAGCCAGCAGTGCTGTGCATGGCCCTCGCCTGCTTCCGTGAGTGCTGCCAGCATGCCCCTGCCTCCCGCGCCACCGGCTCTGGCTCCCTCCTCTCTCTTTGCTGGCTGTCAGGGAGAGGAAGCTTTAAGCCTGACGGAGAATTCATCAGAGCAAAGGTTTCCCCTGGCCGTCTGCTGACTGGCCAGGAGGGCAGGGCTCCCTTTTCTTACTCCTCCGCTTTCCTTCGTTGGGAGATGGACTTCCAGCTCCTGCTCTATGCTACACTAGGCTGCCGCTTTCCGATCCCACTCCGAGGAGCGTCAGCCATAGGATATTAACCCTACACAGGTTTCAGTTCTCAGAGAATAGTGCTCGGATTTACTTTCATCCAGTAGCAATCACTTCTAAGCAGCTCCAAAGCTGTCTTGCCTTGACTAGGGAAGTACTGCCTATACTCTAGCAATATTCACCATTTTGTAAGGGGTGGGAGAGGCGCTTGAGGGGTGAAAGCTGCTGGCTCCATGCCCCCAGGCCAGTTCTTTGGGTTTCATTGAGCGTGGGGGGCCCTGAGCCCCCGGTCTGGTGGTGGGTGACAGCCCACGCTGTGGATTCAGCGTCTCGGAGAGCTGGGCAGGACCTGGGGCTTGTAGCAGGGCTTTGAAAAGGCTCCTGTAATAAGGCGCAATGGGAAACGCAGCGAGCTGCCCCGGCTGAGGGAGAGCGCCTGCTCCGCGCCGTGCCCTGGTAGCACAATGTCAGAGCAACAGACTGTACCCCAGTATCGCAGGGTTCGCAAACCCACTGCACGCTGGTCCCCGAGACGCGTTTTAACTGGAAGGCAGAAACACAGGGTACCCGGTCCCGCCGGCCGCCTCGCTGCCGGCACGGGGATGGGGCTGGGCTAAGAGCTGCCTCTGAGGGCTGCGAGGAGGCTGTGATGAATTCTTATCTTATTTTAAAGCACTGTATCCTATTACTGCATGTTGAGTTACGTGTGTGTGCCTGTGCGTGCCGAATGCTTGCGTCGGTAGTTAGAGCGAGTGTGACCGGGAGAAATCCAAGAAGCATGTCTTAGTGTCGTGCTGTAAGTGTTACTGCACAAGAGTTTAACAGATGTTAACACCAAATGACTAGTCTGAGAAATGTACTTTTAAAAAAAAAAATTATTTATTTGGGTTCAAATATTTTTGAAATACAAAAAAAAAAATTGGTTGTATTTTTTAAAGCTTATAATTCTTGTCATACATTGTGGTTAAATTCTTAATTTTACCCTGCTTATTAAAAAATGGTTCTACCTAAGCTTTGTGCTCAGAGGTGTGCGAAGATACCAGAGACGCTGGCTAGGACGGGATGGCGATCCCGGGAGGGCTGTTCTCAGTGGGTTTGGGACAAGGCTTGGCCTTGTCAAAGCCTGCAGAGGCTGGAAGGCACAAAAGGAGAGCGGGCTTGCCTGCACGAAGGGGAATCCTCGAGGCAGAAGCCAGGGAGAGTTTTAGCGGCTGTGAAGTCTCTCGCGCAGCTGAGTGCAGCGCCTGGCTGCAGGTGGGTGGCTCCCGCAGCGGTGGACTCCCGCGTCCTTCCTGGCCACGGTCGTCTGCCGCTCCCACGGCCAGCGAGAGCTGGGCCAAACCCAGGCCGGGCTGTGAGGCTGAGGGTTACCTGGTGCTCCATCCCAGTTGTGACACTGAGTGGTGAAAGGGCTGCTTCCCCTGTGGTGGGGGCATGCTCAGGGGGGTCTCGTGCCCCAAACGGGAAGGGAGAGGTGGGTGAGAGCCAAACAAGGAGCTGCTGCTGCACCGCAGCCAGTGCCAGGAGGGAGGTGCTGGGAGAAGGCACCGGGGCGTTGGTCTCGGGCTGGGGGTGCGGGTGTGCCATGGTCCCAGGTACTGGCATGGCTCCGGGAGCGGGCACGGGTGCCTCCCCTTACAGGACAGGCAGCCCCGGGAGCGGGAAGGTCGCTGCGAAGGCCTCCACCTCTTCCTTCAGTGCCTTCAGTTCCCCCCGGTATTTCTCCTCTTCCAGTTTCTCCTTGAATTCCTTCAGTGTCGCCTTGGGGCTCATGTCCTTCTGCACGCGCAGCGTCAACTCGATCCCTGCCGGGATGGGAGACATGTTGGTCAGCCCTCGTGGCTGCAACACCTCGCCGCATCCCGCACCTCTCCCAGCCCTGCTGCAGGGAGCCTGCGAGGCTGGGCTGTGGGCTTGGCCCTGCACACCCCGCAGCAGCGCCGGGGCTGCTCCCTGAGACGTGCGGGAGGGAAGGAGCAGGGCTGCGAGGGACTTGCTGCCCTGGGAAACCAGTGTGGGACCCCTGAGGACAACTGGAACAAGACTGTGAAAGGTACAGTTTTAATCCAGGCTTTCAGCCTGCTGCCTGTGCAGTGGGGAGGGTTTGGCTGGTCCCAGCTGTGGCCAGATGCCCTCTCCCACATCCAGATGTGCAGGTGGGACAGTTACTCCTCACTTGCGTGTGCGCTCCCTTGCCAGCTGCTGGGGAAGCCGCCCAGCTTGTGCCTCCTTGCCCAGAGGAGCTGCCCTGGCCCCGGGCTGCTGCTGGAGCTGAGACGGCCCCATGCACCCCTGCCTGTGATGGCCCCGGCCTCACCTCTGTGGATGTACTGCAGGCCGCTGGGGCGCAGGGCGCTGATATCACCTGCGCCAGAACAAGTCACGTGTGACCAAACCAGGTACCAAAACTGCTATGCATGGCAACTTGTGGTTCCCAGTGTCCAGAGTGGACTGGGAGCTGGGAGCCCTGCAGGAAGCTCTGCATGGGCCACGGGAGATCCCCAGCATGTGGGGCAGGACGCGGCAGAGCTTGTGGGATCCCTCACCGGGGCATGTGTTCTTGTTGCAGGCGATGGAGCAGATCTCCAGCACCCGCTCGGCCCGGCCGCCATCCGTGCCTCTGCTGCGCAGGTCCAGCAGAATCAGGTGGTTGTCGGAGCCTCCTGCAAAGAGAGGGGTTCGGTGGGGGACGTGGGATTGGGGTAAGTGCTGCTCCCGCACGAGACTTTAGCGAAAAAGGCTTGGGATTGCACTGGGGCCTGCCCCTAGGTTTGGGGGCAGAAAGGTGCCTGCCCTTGGGAAGAGGGGGCTGCTTCGAAAGAGTTTTGCAGCTGTCTGGAGGAATTGTGACAGCAGCACCCTGCCTGTCGCGTCCACGCACATGCTGCCCTCGTGGCCTGGCTCGGACCCCAGGCCACGCACAGAGGTCAGCCCCGTCCCGCCGCCGAGACCTGTCCTCACCCGTGACGATGTCGTAGCCCAGCTCCATCAGCGCCGCCGAGAGCGCTTTGCAGTTCGCGACCACCTGCTGCTGGTAGGCCTTGAACTCGGGCGTCATGGCCTGCCGCAGCGCCACGGCGATCCCTGGGGAGGAAGGCAGACCAGGGTGAATTTTTGGGGGCTCCCAGTGGGAGAGCTGGTGAGGATGTGTGGCACCGCCAGCAGAAGTCATCCTGGAAGCTGCGCAAACTGATGGACAGTCCCTTCCCCTCACCAGGCTGGCGGCGTTGCCATGAGCCAAAAGGCAGGATGGGACAAGCCTGATGTTGCTCCTCGGGCAATGCTGGATCAAGCCAGCTGCTCCTTGCCCCAGTATCTCCGGGCTGCGAGCCCCTCGGGGCAGCTGGAGCCCCCTTCGCTACTGCTGGGGGTCAAACCCCTGCCAGGACATCTTTGCCATCTCCCTTTGCCATCCCGGAGCTCGCAGACAGCCCAGATGCGTACCTGCGATGGCGTGGTTGTGCGGGCCTCCCTGCAGCCCGGGGAAGACTGCCTGGTTGATGAGGCTCTCCAGGTTGTAGAGTGTTTCCTTGCCCGTCTTGGGGTCCACGCTGCGGGTGCCTGCAGGAGGGGAGGGCAGGGTCGCTCACAAGGCAGCACAGCTGCCCTTCTCCCACGAGCTGCTTTCACCCCCTGGCCTCCCAGAGCAGGGATGGTGGTTGCTCCTCTTCAAATCTGGGCCATGGTTGGCCCTGGTAAGCTCCCCAGGTGCTCCCAGGAGGCCCCAGACCTTCCTGCCCTCCCTCCTTCCCAGCTAGAGCAGGAAGGAACTTTAACTTTGTAGCCCCTCTGGCCTGGGCAGAGCATTTCTCCCAGCTCCCTGGCCAGGTCAGGCACCTTTGCGGTAGAAGATCATGCCGGCCCTGCAGCCCCGCAAGGTCTTGTGGGTGGTGGTGGAGACAACGTCGCAGTGGTCAAAGGGGGAGGGCACCACGCCGGCAGCCACCAGCCCGCTGATGTGGGCCATATCGGCCATGAGATAGGCACCGTTGGCATCGGCGATCTTCCGCATGCGGGCGTAGTCCAGGTTGCGCGAGTAGCAACTGACACCTGCAGGGAGATGGGATGTGGAGGGGACAGGAGCAGATGCTCGAGGACTCTGGCACAGCCCTGTGTCCAGCGCTGTGATGGGCTGGAAAGCACGCAAGCACCTGCCAGCACGGATGTGTTAGGGTCTCCTCCTGGCACTGCAGCATCTATAGGCTTACCAGGGTGCTACTGGCTTCAGGGAGCCACCTCCACCCAGGGGGTGTCACCAGGGCGGTTGGTAAGGGTTTGATCCTTACCTGCTATGATCAGCTTGGGGTGGAAGAGGCGGGCGTTCTCCTCCAGTCGGTCATAGTCGATGTAACCGGTCTTGGGGTTGACCTGGGAGAGGAAGAGGAGGGTTCAGCCACCTTGGCACGGATGAAGATCAGCCACAGCACCATCCTGCAGGAGGGGGTGCCGGGAGCCTGACGCTGGTACTTTTAACGTTAAGAGGCACTAACGCTTATGACGACCGCATCGTGGCTCTGCATCTCTGTACCTTGTAGGGCATGGACTCGAAGAAGACAGAGGTGGCAGAGATCTTCTTCTTGTCTGTCATGAACCCATGGGTGAGGTGGCCCCCATCGGGCAGGTCCAGCCCCATGATCCTGCCGTGGGGCTCCACCAGGGCCGTGTACACCGCAAAGTTCGCGGGTGACCCTGCAGCGAGAGCACACCGGGCCGGTTACGGGTGCTAGGGTGTGCGGAGGCCGGTGCAGCTGGCCTGGCTCTCCCAAGTGCCCCATTACCTGAGTAGGGCTGGACATTGACGCCCCACTTCTGGGGGTCAAGCCGGTATGCCTGGAGGGCTCGCTTCTGGCACAGCCTTTCCAGCTCATCTACAAACTCCGTCCCACCGTAGTACCTGCCGGTAAAGGACGGGGCAGGGGTTAAACCAAACCCTGTGACCAAGCTGTGGAGAACCTGGTGATGCCATGGCTGTGGCAGCCACCGGGACAGCAGCTGCAGCAGATGTGACCCTGCTGAGATTGTCCCATGCGTGGCCGAGGACAGAAGCTGGGAGGGTCAGATCCTGCCCTGGAGGAGCTTGGCTGCCAGCACCAGGACGTTGCTTCCTCTCCAAAGGTGAGGTCTGGCAGCATGGGTGGTTCTTCTCCCCTCCCTGTGAGGGTTTGGGTTGGGTGGGACTCTGCCTCAGCCCCGTACCTCTGTCCTGGGTAGCCCTCGGAGTATTTATTGTTCATGCAGGATCCCAGGGCCTCCAGGACCGCTCGGCTCGCAAAGTTCTCCGACGCGATTAACTCCAGCCCCAGCCTCTGCCGCTGCTTCTCCTTCTTGATGATGCTGTGCACCTTTGGGAGGGGAGAGAGACAGCTTTACCCTTGTTGGCTCTGCGCGGAGATGTGGGTGCTCTGTGGTAGGGGATGTACCCTCGGAGGGGACAGGGTGATGGAGAGGGGCCTGGAAATGTTCTGGAGAAGGGAGATGAGATCCCTTCTTGGTACAGCTGATCCCAAATAGTTCATATGTTCAGTCACAGGCCATATTTTGGGTTTCTACCTGCCAGGAAGCTGCCAGATAATTCAGCTGTCATTTGGGCTAGAGAGTGAAGGGCAACTGCCACATGGCCTGGTGGGCCAGCTGCTCTGGTGTAGACATTAGAGCTTCAAGCAGAGGCGCATGAGCAATAGATGCGACGTTATGACCATGTTATCTGCACATGGTTGGAGGATGCCCTCCCTCCACCTCTCACTGCAGGCAGAGGGGGCACAGAGGATGGATGGGTCTCACCAGCTCAGCCTTGGACCATTTCCCTGCCACATCCCTGGCTCAAGCATCCCCACAGCTGTCTAGGGGATGAATAAAGCAGCTACTGGGCAGGGGCCAGGAAGGGGCTCTCACCTCTGGGTCATTGCTGTCGAGTGGCTCCATCACCATCCTGTTATGGGAGGCCCAGAGCTCTGCGCTGGGGAGGCCCCTGTCGGCCTGTGTTGAGTTTGCCATCCTCCTGCTGGGTCCAAGGTCACCTGCCAGCAGACAGGGGAGTTTGTAGAATGGGCTGGGATGGCAGCGGGGCTGGGTGCCTCCGTGCTGCATCCCTGCACCCTGCCTGCTCCTATCCCACATCTTCCCCGAAAGACAGAGGGACCAGCCACGGGCTGGGGCCCACTGGGTGAGGAAAACACCAGCTCTCAGGATTCCCCCACTGATTTAGGACCGGTTCATTCATTATAGTGCTTTGATCATTTCTGATACTCTTCCATTACCGCCCCACCTGGGGTCCCCCCACCCAGGCCCGCAGCGCCTGCCCAGACACTTGGGGACGTGGTGAACCCATGCATGGACCAAACCACACCAGCAACACGAACAATGCCTTTCCCTCTTGCTCCTGTATATCCGTGAGTCTTAGGGCTTCTAGGAAATGCTAGCAAATGCCCTCATGGATGTAAGGGTATCTTATTAAAACTGCTGTTTAATTTCAAGGGCAGTGAAGCACTCATACCCACAGACCTCAATTTTAATGTTCGCTGCATTCCTCAGCACACTTAAACCTCTCTGCTGCTTTCCCTTGTGCACAGCCATGAGGGCAAACCCCCAGCAGGTCAGAGTCCTGCCCCAAACCCTAACTGAAGCAAGCATGGCTTGTGGAGCTGAGCCCCGAGAGGCAGCAGCCCTGCCTCAGCCTGACTCCACACCACGCGTGATGCCCAGGCCTGGCAGCAGCCCTCTGGCCCCCTCCGTGCGACCACTGCTAGCGTTATAATGCAGAGCACAAGCTCCTCGGCAGGCATGACAGCCCAGCTTCTGCCTTGGCTGACAACAATGCATCTTTTTACCCATTAACCCTGCAAGGCCAGCACAGGGCCGTGAGCAGCTTATTAAGCAATCGGACTTAGTTTGCTTGTGCCAAGCTGCTGAAGTCCATTCAGTGTGGGCCTGCTGCATGCTGCCTGCCTGGCCGTCCTCCTCCCCGAGCCCGGGGCCTTGCTGGCAGAGGAACCCCCCACTGTCAGAAAGCTGGGCTGGGTGGGGAAAGGGCTACAAGGGAATGGGCAGGGTGCAGTGCGCTGGCTTTGAGCAGGACGGCTGTGTCCCGCGTGTACCCCCGGCACAGGTCGCAGCAGTACCTGCACCCAGCGCTTTTGGCAAACCTGCAGAAGGCTCAGGGGGTGACAGAGCTCCCCGTTCCCCACCCAGGATGAAACCCCCCATTTCCACCCTCACGGTGGGACACCGGTCCGGCCCTGACAGTTCACCTGCTGCAGGGGCAAACCCCAGCCCTGAGGCTCCATCCCCACCTGGGTCTGCACACACACCCCCCGCCCCATATCGCGGCTCCATCACCTCCCGCATCCCTGACAGGCTCCCGCTGACGCCCTCCCCCTGCCCTGACACCGGTGGTGGGGAGCAGCGCTGCCCGGCTCCCACCCCGCAGCGGGGTGCCCCGCTGGTGCCCTGCTCCGCCCCGGGCCCCGCACGGCCCCTACCCTCCCGCCGCGCTGAAGGCCGGTCCCGCTCCGCCGCCGCGCGGGAGCCCGCGTCCCTAGCATAGACCGCTCAGACACGCCTCTCCGCGCCTCGACCAATCAGAACCTAGCTCCGCCCTGGTAGGGGCCAATCAGCGCCGCGTCCCTCCACCTCCCCGCGTCCTATTGGTCCGCGCCGAGGTGGGGTTGGCGGCGCTGCCAGCACGTGGCGGCCGGGGCGCGGGTGACCTTGGCTGGGGAGGGCGGGGGTTCCGCTGCCGTCACCCCTTTGCCGTCACCACCTCCTCTGCCGTCACCCCGCTGCCGTCACCCCGCCTGCCGTGCGCCCCCGGGGGGGGGGGTCTCCCCCAGCCCTGGGGTGTTCCCAGCGCCCCGCCATCCGGGGGGGGCCGCTCGCCTCCCCCGTCAGCCGGAGGACGGGAGCCCCCCACCACCCCGCACCCCCGTCGGGCAGGGAGCGCTTCCAGCCGCCCCCAGGCCCCCCCGGGCCGAGCCGCTGGCCCAAGCCATGTCTCAAGGCGAGCAGGAGTGCCGGGCCGCGGCAGGGGTTGGCAGCACCGGCGCCGTGGGGCGCAGAGCCTGCCCCGTGTCCCCCCCGCCGCGGCAGGGCAGCCCCGGGGCCTGGCGGGGTGTCCGGGTGCCCAGGAGGAAGGGAGCTGCCTCGGGGGGGACGAGTCGCGCAGGCAGGAGAGGGGCCGTGCTTTCTTCGGGCTTCAAAGCCAAGTTAGCGCTTGGGCTTGGCCAACCGGCCCGAGGGAGCCTGCGACCACTGGGGCTTCGGGGGTTAAATCGATGCGCCACAAATTGAGGAACAAGATTAGGGAATAAGGGATCCTACTAAATTCCTCGTGATCCCAAGCCATGGGAAAATGGGACGAGGCAGCGTGAGTCACTCTCCGGAGAGGAGCGGCGTCTCAGAGGGGAGTCAGCCAGGAGGCGAGACCACCCGCTGCGGGCAGAGCGGCGAGGGAGCGCGGCGCGGCGGTGAGTCCTGCCGGCACTGCCGAGGCGGGGTGCCGGGGTGGGGTGCCGCGGCGAGCAGGAGGGGCGAGGCGACTCCTGGGCTCACCAGGAGGGCGGTTTGTGGGCACAGGGCTGACGGTTATGCCGGAACACACCTCGGGTACCATTCTGCCTCCTAGAACGCGCCTCCCTGGAAGGTACTTGTTGAACAGTCTTTTAACTTTATCAGTTTAGATGTTTTTTGCTCTCTTAATTTGTCGTTGGTCATCCGAGGAGGACTCGTCACAGCTGTGGGATTAGGGTTTCCATGGTTGTGCTGCTGGCCCGCGTCGGGTTGCTGTCGTAGGCCCTTCATGGAGGTGGTGTTCCGACAGCGCCGACGCAGACAGCAAAACCTGGGTCGGTTTCTCTGGTCACGGTGGTTTCTGTGACATGCAGATGCAGATGCTATAGAGAAGGACTTTCTATTAGTTATATATTAAGTTATATAATCTGGCTTTGCATATACATTTTGTGTAGAGTTGCTAGCAAAGATTTTCACCTCTCTTGAGCCATAGGAGCTGCAGATAATAGCAGTGTGTGCTGTTATGATTTCAGGACTCTGGCTTGCTGGAGATGGAAAGCGTCTCTTCTTCCCCTTCACCCTTCTCTGCCAGTTCCCCCACCGTGCAGTCTGAGAACGCCACGGCCCACGACTACTACTCCGGCCTCCAGAAGAGCATGCATGTCCTCTCCATGGTGGTGTACAGCATCGCCTGTTTGCTGGGGGTGACAGGGAACGGCCTCGTCATCTGGATTGCAGGCTTCAAGATGAAGAAAACGGTCAACTCCGTCTGGTTCCTCAACTTGGCCATTGCTGACTTCATCTTCACCTTTTTCCTGCCCCTCAGCATTGCCTACACTGCTCTGGGCTTCCACTGGCCGTTTGGGAAGCTCCTGTGCAAGCTGAACAGCACCATCGCGTTCCTCAACATGTTCGCCAGCGTCTTCCTCCTGACGGTCATCAGCATGGACCGCTGCGTTTCTGTGGCCTTTCCCGTCTGGTCTCACAACCGCAGGAGCCCAGAGCTGGCAGCCAGGATCGCCCTGGGGACGTGGGTCCTGGCTCTCCTCCTCAGCTCCCCGTACCTCGTCTTTCGGGACACTGTGGTCAGTTCCAGGAACATCACCAGCTGCTATAATAATTTTGCACTGTCCGATGACTACACGTCCGAGGCAACGCGGAGGCTGTGGAGGATGCGGCATAAAGCAATGATCATAACACGATTCTTATGCGGGTTCCTCGTCCCTTTCACGGTGATTCTCATCTGCTACAGCATTGTTGCTGTCAAGCTGAAAAGAAGGCAGTTAGCCAACTCTGCAAAGCCATACAGAATTATCATTGCTGTCACAGTCTCGTTTTTTCTCTGTTATTTCCCCTATCACGTCTTCTCCTTGCTGGAAATATCCAAAAACTCTTCCAGTCATGAGATGAAAATGGCCCTTTACATAGGGATCCCCTTGGTTTCCAGCCTTGCTTTCTTCAACAGCTGCATCAACCCCATCCTGTACGTATTTGTGGGGCCGGATTTCAAGGAGAAGTTTCGCCAGTCCATCCTGTCAGCCTTTGAAGGGGCCTTCAGTGAGGAGTCGGTCCTGGGCAGCCTGACCAGCAGGCGAAAGTCCAGGTCTGCTTCGGAAGCGGAGGTCCCGAGGGTCTGAGCGGGCGCTGGCGTGCCGCATTGCTGGCACCGTTGGAGGGGGCAGTTCTCTTCTCTGCAATTTCTCCTCATTTCAGAGCTATAATCGCAGGACTGGGGGCTGCAAAGGGCTGTGCTTGCTAACAAAGTGTGATTTGATGTTTTGGAGGTAGCTCAAACCTACTGCGACTTAATATACTGTGGAAATTAAACAACTCTCTGGAGCTGCAGCAGGGTGGGAAAGTCAAAGTACATTTTGCTCCTTGCGCCACTTCCTCGGCTGCCTTGTTTCCCTGTACCTTTTCCATGCCCTATGGTCCATCGTACCTGGCAAAATGTCTCCCTGGCTGCACGTGCTGCGAGGGCAACCACAGCCTGGGTGGCAGCTGCCAGTCGTCAGTCTTGGTTGCCTTAGCACTGCTGATCTGTTACAGCTTCCACTTTTTAACAGGAGACCCTTTATAAAATTAGCCGGGTTTGTGACTGCGCTGGCAGAGCTCCCTTTACTTTCTTCTCTGGGGCTGCCAAGGAGGCCGGTCTCGGGTGCCCTCCACGCTGCCGCCCAGCCCAGCCCAGGGTCACCCTGTACTCGCCCAGGGGAGGCAGTCGGGGCCAAGTCCTGTTTGCATCTCTGTTGGGTTCGCCTGCCTGCAGCGCGTTTGCACATGGCGAGCCGAGGGGAGAGTTTGTTCCCTGCCCTTTGCCAGACTTCCCTGGCAGCTCATCTTTGCCGGGGTTCCACCAGGGGGCAAAATTGGGTGCAACTGCACCGGCGGTGTATGGCTGTGCCGGCATTTTGGCTGTCCAGAAGAGAAGAGGAGGGAGGGGAGAGCTATTCCATAAGTCCCTTGTGATTAAATCAGTAAAGAAAATACAAAGACCCTTTCCCATGCATCATTCCAGTCTGACACATGGGCTGCTAAAGCTTAAGGAGAAAATAATTTTAAAAAAAGCAGCTTGAACGTGCAGTGGGATCCATCTGGAGGCACTCTTGCAAATGCGTCTTTCAAAGAAATAGGGTTAAAAAGTGGCTGTATGTATTTTTGTAGGGTCTGGACTAGCCAGTAAGACACTCATCTTTTCTCTCCCCAGATGTGTGGCAGGACAAATTATTGGTTGTGCTCCAGTTACTCAGGTTTGATGTACAGCACTGTTTCTGAGCAACGCTTGACTGTGTGTGTGATTGGCATGTTTCTGGCCCTTAAATAGTGGAGATCTGACATTTTCTACTGTTGGTCAATGAATATTAAACCCCATTAAACTTATGTAAAATGTACCCAGCCTGTTGTGTTGCCTGTGTGATAAAACACTTGGTGAGTGAACCTGACTGAGCATGCTCATCTTTGGTAATAGAACAACTAGATAAAAAGATTAAATACCCAGAATTTGGAAACGAACCACTGGCATTAGCAGCAACTCTCATGACTGCAGTAGCAGGACTTGACCTGGGTGTGAGGACTTGCCTGTCCATGTGGATCCGATTGCCAGACTGCAGTTCTGGCTTATTGGTGGGTTTCAGACCTTTTGGTACATTTGAAAACCAGTGGTTTGGAGAAGAAAGAAGAGCAAGTGTGGCTGAGACCCAGGTCTGCTCGCGTTTCGCAGTTTCAAACTGCTCAGGATGAAGATGGTGGGAGTTTTCTTCCCAGGCTTGATCAGCCTCTGAACTGCCTTAATTTTCATAAGTAGACAATGTTGGTCACATAAAAGGTTACGGCAGTGTTGAGGTGCTGCCATTTGCAGCCCATCCTAGGCAGCTGAATGAGCAGGTAACTGTATCGCACCTCCCTCTCCTGGCCTGTCCAATCTGCCTGTAGAATGGCCCGAGCTACCATCTGTCCCATTCATCCTGCCAGAAACCTGCCTTGGAGCCTCATTGCTCCGACGGCTAGAAGATCTGACTCGCAGCTGGAACGTACGAATTTCCATGTACCTCACTATTCTGCATGGATGACATTACCGAGCGAGAGCTGTCACTCGAACATGTTAGGGATTAAATATAGGTCTGCTGGGCCATGCAATATTAAATGAAGGTCGTGATCCTACAGGCATGCATGTACTTAACCTTAAATTCATGCATAAGCCCGCTGAGAACAGGGAATGTAACAAGGCCATCCATATGTCAAGCATGAGTGAACAGAGAGATTTACCCTTTGCCACAAATTGCTGCCTGTCATCCAGATAAAACAGCAATGTTTGCTATGCAGCATGCAACTCCGGGGCTATTTACTTGCTCCTGGTGGTAAACTACAGCATCGATTGCAGTGTCAAGGTTGTGCAGACCAGCGTTTGCTCTTTCTGGTTTTCCTTATCTGTTTGCAGAGCCCATGTAATTCCTTGTGACAGGAGGCTCTGAGAGCCTTAGGCCAAGGCCTCGGACTCCTGTCGTGCCTCTCTCCTCACCCCAGCAGCCTTGAAGGTCAGGACTTGAAGTATTGACCTGGTTTGTGGTAGGAAAGAAAGACATTTTCTGGGTCATTTGGACACCCAAGGTGGGTACAGGATTCCCATGGGACGACGCGATTTAAATGAAGCAGAGTGTCTGGGTGATCTAAGGAATCACCACCGGAATACCGGTAGGTAACTAACCTACAGAGCAGCATCTCCCCCCGGCGTCCCAGCCAAGCCCAGCTCTGTTTCACCACAGCAGCTCTGTTTCACCGGCTAAGCCCGTTTGACTCCAGACCCAAGACCAAGCTGCTCGCTCTCTTTCTTGCAATATCCCTCCCAGAAGTTGCTTCCACTCTAAGCGGCAATGTTATTACGCCTAAGCAAAACACCGTGTCTTTACAAAGCTGAACGTCTCCCTGCATGATGGGGAAGGGGCTGGGAAAGCTTTCAGGCAGCCGTTCCTGAGAACACTTGCCAAAATACTGTTGGGAGAAAAAAGGGAGAAGCGAATGTTTTATCAATGGTAATGGCCATTGCTGTGCTACAGGGTGCGCTTGAGATAGAGATGGGTCCGTCAGCCCAGGTCTGATCCCTAGCCTTTGTGCAATGAGAAGCCGAGCTGACATCAATACGGGGTCAGGCTGCCAAGGGACTGGTTCCAAGATAAATCTCCCATTGTATCGAGTTCCCTCATGTTCAGACTATCTCATTATCACAGTGATAATTGTGATAGCCCCTCATTCCCAACTAGGAGGCAGGCTGTTCATTCTCTCTGATACTTGTGTTTGTCATGCGCTTATCTAGAAAAGCTTGAATGAAAAAAAAAGGGAAATTTTTTTCCAAAGGCATGCAAACAACCCAAAGAGGTTGAACGACTCTTTTGGCAGCTGTGCCCCCCTCTGACGCAGCTTTGCTCTCAAGGCTCTTTCAGATGCGATCGGATGGGTGGAACAGCCTGAACCCCCCGCTATTTGCGGTCATTGAGAAAGGTGCTGAACCCGCTGCCCCGCTGGCGTGAGGCCCTCATTGGTCCCACGGAGGGGCCGATCCAACAGCCCCGCTCGTACAAACAGCGGGCTGGGATGTGCAGAGCCATTGGGGCATGCGGGGCTGTTCAGGCTGTGCACGGGGGAGCCTTAGCTGAGAGAATAAGCAAGTTTTGAGAGTATTTGGTATGAATTAGCAGACCAGGGTGAGCAGTCTGATGAGGTCATTAATACTTTGGTGTTGGGCAAGGTAAATATGCAATCACCAGAACATCTTGGTGAAGAGCTCAGAAAGACTTGGCAGGTGATTTCTGGTTAGAGGTTTTGTCACAGGCTGTGCCTTCTGAGTGCAGAAACTGTGCCGGCCGGAGCTGTGGCCCAGAGCGGCCCTCCAAGGGAGGTAGCAAGGGATGGTGATACTTGACTAGCCGGTGTAGATGGGAGGAAGATGTCATGGGGCCGGTTCGGGTGAGGGATTACAGACCTCTCTATGCTGAAAAGAGAACTGGCAGAACCCAGTTACAGCCTGGATGTATCCTGACCTGATTCAGTCACAGCCCTAAGTGGCACTGGATCAGCGTTAGAGTTTTGGTCAGACTAGGGTCTAGCAGGATGGTAAGATGTTCTTATATCTTTAGTGCAAGAGAAAATAACTGTGGTGTTTTAAGCATGTTGAGGGACAATCATGGTGTAACTGGGTCTTGTGACACAGCTGCTTCAGTAACAAAGACAGGATCTTAGATTAAGATGTATCAAGAATCTCAAGCAGTTAAAGCCTGGGGTGAATTGCAGCACGCAGTAGGTCCTCGACAGCCATGGATTATTGCTCTGCCCAGCAGTTCTACACTGTTTTAGCAAGCACGTAAGTCAGGGATCTCAATAAGAGCCGTCGCTGCCTTGCTTTGGAGGAGAGAGTACAGCCAGTAACTCTGGAGCTGTGCGAAGCTGCAGAGATACCAGGGAGAAAACCAGCCAAGGAGGATGTGGCAAGCGGTAGCTCAAGAGGAGAAGGTATTTTCTCCTTGGGACCTTGGAACAGAAACTGGGCTCAGAACAGTTAAGAGGAAAAAGGGAGGAAAGAGGGGGAGCTAAGACAGCCTTGAAAAGTACCAGCAGCATGGTAGTGGGTGCAAATGAATGGGAGGGAGAGTGCAGCAGGTGAGGAAGTTCTCGTTAAGGAGAGCTTAATGAGACAATAAAAGCCTCTGTGAAACCTAGCAGTCCCTGTGCTTTGCCTCTGGTGAAACTTCCCTGGTGAGTAAAATTTTTAAGTGTCCCACTCTTGAGCTTGGGGAATGGACTTGTTAGATGAGGTCAAGTAAAAGACAGTGCATGGAGGTCTGACAGCAGAACCTCTTCCAGAGCTTGCTGAAATCAGGTGGGAAACGATATGGCAAGTTAGAGGGCCAGCATAGGTAAAAAGTTTCTCTCTGAAGGGGAGGTATTGGTAACAGCATTAGTAAGCGGTGCAGGCCAAGTCTCACCCAGGTCTCCTCAGCCTTTCTTGGTGAGGGTCCCACCCAGCACAGGAGTTAACCTGCTATTGCTGATCCAGGGTCAGTCCTGATCGGCACCAAACCAGGAAGGGAACAGGGTGCCCTTTGCTGGTTGCACTTTGGTCCTTCCCTGCACCTCTCCCAGCTTC